CAAACGAGACTTGCTCCATTGTCACTTGGTTTTCGGGGAAATGTGCACAATTGTGCACATTTCACGTGGCCGACCTCTTCACTGCTGGCATTGAGGCCCAATTGGAAATGCCCACAAGGGCCTTCGGTTGAGATTAATAACTAAACTTTGAGGGTGTTCCGGATTTCTTGTATGAGGGTCGATCTGCTCTGAATACTCCCACCACACGACAGATAAAGGCTCAGCACAGTTCCACTGAGGCTGGAGCTCTGCAGCCATTTGATGTTACCCTCAATTCCACGCTGGCGCCGCCTACGAGACATATGCTACGGTTTCTGTGACAACTGGAACGATTTACGTCTATCACGTCACCAGATAAACATCCTTAAGACTGCATCTCTGGTCTGGACAAGAATCAACCTATTCAAGCGGAAAATGTAACTTGACGGCATTACAAGAATGAGATCCGATTGCGAAGATTTCTGTCCTGTTGCATGTTGTTGATATCGGCTCAGACCGCTTTTGCTGGAACCAGGGAGTGTCTCGTGGACATCAGCAAAATGAACTGCATACTATCATCAAACGTCGGCAGGATAACAAGAATCAGCAATTGTCAACTGATGAGATCGAGCTATGCATCTCTTCGTCGTGCACTTTAGCAAAATTGAAGGTCAATGCAACAATGTCGAGCTAGGAGACTGATAGAAACTAGGTTACACTTTTTTAAACCATTGTCCTGCCGCGAAAAGGATAGCAGCACGACTGTGCCGAATGAAAGGATTGAACGAGACCAACATTCGCAAACTGAGATAAGGTTCTATCCTTCTCATACAAAAATTAGAGGCGAGTACTGCGCCGTGGTCATTCAACCGGAACGTGCAGGAAGAGGACATTTCGCCCCCTCAAGTCCCAGATTATCTTCGTTTTGACACTCTTTTCGGCTGCTCAGACAGTACTTCGTCAATCAGCCCAGCCTTCTAATTTGCAAGAGCCATCATGAAATGGCCCACACAAAAAGAGTGTGGAAAGTGGGTCAAAAACATACAGAGGAGGCTACAGAGGAGTTTGTAAAAAGTGGCACCCCCCCCGTGAAAATGAAATTCGACTGCATTTATCCGGTTGCTAACAACCTGAGAATGACAACCGATTCTACTTGCCTGCTTTGGCTGGAGTATCGGAGAAAACATTGTCTTCTCGGAAGTCGTCCACTTTCGACGCAGCAAGGACGACACGTTGCTCGGTTTCCGAGGATGACGAGTGGATGGGTTGACGGCACCTTTCCGGTCGACATTCCTATTCACTGCCGGCTCGGCAGCCTCCATTTTCTGATCGGCTCTAGCCCCGACGTCACATCTTCCCACCTCCACAGCGTTTTTTTCACAGCCCGTCTCGTGGTTTTCGCTGTCTCCAGCCTCCGTTCCTTTTTCTGGCACTTTGGCTATTTCTTCGTCACCTCTTCCTGCCTCGTCCACTTCCAGTCTACAGACTTGGTGATCAACTTTCGGACAAGTCTCCTGGTCGCTTTGACCGCAGGAGCCCATGGCGATGTCAGGACGACCGTCGCATTCGGTTCTCGAGGCCATCTCACTTGCTCGAGGACCGCCCGGCGCCTCGTTAGTGTCGACGTAGGTACCAGACGAACCGCAGGTCTGCTCGCCTGTGCAAAAGGGGTCAATTCAAAGTGAGT